ACCTTAGATAAACAGATTTGATAGCTAGATATCGGTGCAGGGGTTCATATCGCAGATGCCCCTTGTATATTTGATAGTTGAAGCAATTTAATTGCACATGGACTTAAGGCCAAATCTTCATCCCTTGTGCAAAGTAAAGGGGCTTCATCCCTTGTGCAAGTAAAGGGGCTTTACATGGAGCACCTACAGGTTGGGGGCAATTAATTCCTTTACAACCCAGCCACACAGCTATTCTGCTCTATTAATTGGTGACTCCAGTTTGTATTGTTGGCCTCAAATCTGCGTTACAGACGCCTCTTACACTAAGACTTGGAAAGTTGGCTCTGTGCAATTTGTGAACTCTCAACCTGCCCCTCCGTGCAGCTGCAGAGTATACCATGGTTAGAGGCTGTTCCACTGCACCGGCTCACCGTGGCTTACCCTCCGTCTCATGCCGAGTAACCACAGCAGTTTTGTGTCTTTTCCAGCCTTGTGGACCTGTGCACTTGGCGTAGGAAGATTGCCCGATAAAGTGGCCTAACTGTCTGTACTGCTTTTAAATCCATGCATTTAGTGGGGACTGTTAGCTTTCACTTTTTCTTTCCAAGTGCTGGGGAAAAAATTGGCAAAAGCTTAGTTAGTGCAAAATTTAAGTTACATAGTTTGTTTATTTTTTTAAAAAAACTTACTGGAAATGCTAATGTTATATTTTCCACAGCACCATTAACTTAGCCACATTGCATGCAAGTAATGCCTTTTATTTCTGGTTTTCTTGTTAAATATATTGCATAAGGTATTCAAGTGTATGAAATAAACTTAGATTTTTCTTCACATTGTTCTGTTTTATCCTCCAAACCATACTTTATTAGCCAATGCATCCTAAATTAGATCTATCTATTCCTTCTCTGTGGTTCCTGAATCATCCTTCCAGTGTCACAGGATAGTCTCTCTTGCTACTCTTTGGCCTTTGTTTATATATGAATGACTAATAGGCACCAAGTAGTCAGTCAGGATATCCCTATGTGCTCCCTTTCTATAGAAAACACACCGAAGGGGGAAATTAAACAAAAAAATCTTTTGGAAGTTCCTACCTCAAATGTAGCCGTGCATTTTCTGCTGTGGTGCAAAGCAGCAAGTGCGGCTTATGAATCCTGCATTGCCTCCACATTTTAGGCTATCTTTTATGCTTTTATTTATTGCCGGTCGGACGTGATCACAGGCTACTTTGGCTTCTAGGGCAACTCCAAATCATGCCTGCGGTCTCTCATCCTTTTGAGCATTCCAGTAGAGAGGATGGGCCAGATTCAGCCGTGATTTTAGTGGAGTTGCAAATTGTTACCCTGCATTGTGTGTTGCCCTATATCTCTCCCTCTGTGTCACAGTATTTTTGCAGAAATGTTATATGCTCAGCATAGCAGTACCCTTTAAACCAAAGAAAATGGGCTAGAACTAATTTAACTCTGTTGATTAACATTCAATTGGCATGAAGGTGAACAGCATTCTATTAATGGGCCTTATTTTTTGAAGGGAGGTTCTATCATGCTTGTGTGAGAGGGACATTGTGTGGAATGCTCTATTCTTAAGAAAGCTTCAGTTTTCAGATGAGAAGCTTTTAATAATATAGAGCCTGTTCCAGCAGAGCCTTATGTGAGTAATCCTTACTATGGGGAGTAGACTTATTGGCTTGCACGAGCCTGTTGGCCTTAGTAAGGATTAATAACATGAGTAAGACTTAAAAGATCGGGCCTATAACAGACAAAAATTAAAAGAACAGTCTTTTCACACCCATAAGACACTAGGACTACTGCATTAAAATTCAATTTCACCAGGAAAAAAAAATCCTTCTGATCTAGTCCCTGGAATGTGACATTTCATGGGTGTAATAAGGTTACAAACAGATTATAAATTGAAACCCCATAAATCCTTATTGTACTGTACCAAAGCTTCTGCTTTGCATAATACTCTTATGCCAGAGCGTAAAGCTAAAAACTATTCATTTGTTCTCATAGTGGTGACCAAGGAATCAAAAACGCCATGCAAAATCCAAAGGTAATTATCAGAGTGAAAGAACCTGAATAGTGAAGTTCACAAACTAATGAACATTTTACGTAGCAGTTGTCTGCAAGATCATTAATTCTATTTGTAGTGTGTTTTTCAATGTGTGAGTCACACACATACATGTATATGTTGCTGAATAATAATTAAAAGCCCAATAAAAATCGATAGACATTTTATTTAATTCTGCCTGTCTCTCTCTATTATCAGTGAGCTGCTTCCAGAGTGAGGTACACTTCAGTCTGAGTAATAGTATCAGAATCTGACCCAAAGTGATGAAGGCCATCAATCTTATTGGCTAAGTGTTTTGTTGTGTTCTGCAACGGTGTACGTTTTATTATGGGGGCTTAGCACATTATATTCTCTTTACCCAGTTCATCCATCTCCTCTTCCTCCTCCACCAATGCCCAGCTTCCATTCCAGTGTCTTTACACCTCTCCCTGGCAACTTTCCACCCCTTCCTCCCAGAGAAGCTCATTCAAGAGTAAAATAAATGAAGCAGATTAGTACTTGATTTTATCAGCCAGTTTCTTCTTGGCCTTTCCTGAAGATGGAGGATTTCAATGAGAACAAGGGGCTTTGCAGACCAGCTTAGAGAGGACATTCAATTCATTGAGATAACATGGACGAAAGTAAAGATGACTGTGGGAAGAGTGGAGAGGATTGGAAAGGAGTGATAGGATAAGAGAGACTGGCAGATAAATAGGGAGGAGCAGAGTTATACAATGCTCTGAAGGCAATCACAAGACACTTGATGTTGTGGAGAAGGGGGGAGCCAGTAGAGGGATGTTAAGAGGGGAATGACAGTCAAATCACTAGGAAGGTGGTTTTAGTGGCTGCATTTTGCATGGATTGGTGGGATGGAGTGAATTTTAGGGAGGACAGTGAGAACTGGTTACATTAATGAGGATGGGAGGTGACGAGGGCCTGGGTGAGAATCTTAGTTGTATGGCCGAAGAGGAAAAAGTAAGATTTTATAATTTCTGGGTAGGCAAAACTAACAAGTTTTGCACACTGCCTGACTGGGTAGGTAAAATGATGCTGTTGTAGTTGAAACAAGAAAAAAAATAACTGCCAGTCCCTATTTAAATCAGATGGAATGCAATTTGTGTAACATTTACCAGTTGTTGTTTGTATCCCATGTAGCTTTATCCAGCTCATGCACCATTTTATTTACTGGAAGAGTTGGCCAATAGTTATGAGTTTCGGCCAGTGAGTTTTGTACAGTCACTTTTTTTTCCTTTCAGGAAATAAGAGTGCACATAAACCTCTCTGTACTGTTCTGATTCGGTTTCAAAACACTGACCATCTGTACTTTTTTGGTACAGGCTCATGTAATATGAATGGACGACAGAGATATGTATTTGAAACATAAACGTTGAAAGATTAAATGTTGTACATTGTCCAGCACATCTGTTTTGTTCAGATGCTGTGTGCACCATCATAACTTTTAAGAAATGGCAATAAAGCTTAGAAAACAGAAAAAGAACGGTCCTCTTTTATAGGAAACCCACATCTGTTTGCCAAGGGGATACTGTATAATTGTGAACATAAGTGATTTTATTTGGTTTTCTGATCGTTTTCAGGACTTTAAAAAGATTAGGGTTATCTTTTTGTGCTCCAGTATGAACTACTGACTTTGTGTATGTCTGACTCTTCTGTGAGCTACTTATGGAGCAGATACTGATTTCATCTCGGTACTAAGATCAAGTTGAAACTCTGGAAACAGTTTTTATATTTTTACCTTAACAGAAAGAATTGCATTTTCTGAGGCAGGAGGCCACCGAGTGGTAAAGCTGGGAAATGATGACTGTTTAGAAAGCCTGCAAAAACAATTGAGAAACTGTAATGACAAAGTATATGAAGGCTGGGACTTTCAAAGAAAGTTCAGTAGAGTTAGGCAACCAAATCCCATTGAAATTCATTCCATTAGGCCTCTTTGAAACTCCCAGTCTAGGGTGCTTTTTCTTAAAGGTGAGCAAAGAATTTGAACAATTAATCTTTTTCTAAATTTGATTTTATGTTGCGGATCCTGATTCAGGAGCCCATCCACGCACGTAATGAAAACGTAAGCATGTACTTAAATGTGTTACTTTACTGAATGGAACAGCACAAGTTACCTTTTGGAAAGAGCAAAAGTCATAGAACCAAATTCTGCCTTTGGATACCTCACACATATCCCACTGATCATAATGACAGCTGCACAGGTGTTTTGGAGGGCCCTATATAAGTCTTAGCCTTTGAGACAAGCTATTTAACAAGGGACAAACTATATTACAAAAAGACAAAAGAAGTCTGGGTTGGCATGAACTCCAGTTAGATTAGGGTTTTTTTGTTTGTTTTTTGTTTTTTTTTATCATTGCAGTGTGTAATGTCTTCCAGGCATACATGAAATAAATACACCCACTTTTAAGAAAATGCTGGAAATATGGAGGGAGTCGGAATCGGTGGTTTGAAATTCAATGAATCAGTTATATTGCCTTTTTTATTTGGAGGACATATTCCCTGAAAAAAAATGTATGAAAAACTTACATTAGCATAAAGTCAATAAGGGCCTGATTTTGCAACCCTCACTCACGTAGAGTAGCATGTAAATGAGACTTCATTGGTGTGAGTAAGTATTACTCAACATGAGTAAGGTAAATTGAGTCCTGAGTAAAATGTCAATAAACCTATGATCAACTTAATATCTTTGTATGCCGTGGGCCTGTTGAGGTCAGTGGAAAGCCTCTCGTCGACTTGAATGGGCTTTGCATAGGGCCTTTAATTTACTTAGATTGTAAACTCTTTGCAGCAGGGACTGTCTTTTTGTTCTGGGGTTCCTGGGCACTATCATAATATGAATATTTAATAAAAAAAAATAATGTCTTAAACAGAAGCCAGAGCTTAAGCATACAGCTTAAGGCCAGAAGGAACCACCAGATCATCCAGGAGTTAAACTGTAATATTGTTTTGTACCTATGTAGCATATAAACAATGATCATATACACGGAGAGAAGAAGGAGTTTGTGTGCCGATGGCTGGATTGTTCCCGGGAGCAGAAGCCATTCAAAGCCCAGTATATGTTGGTGGTACACATGAGGAGACACACAGGGGAAAAGCCACACAAATGCACTGTGAGTAAATAACTCTGAGTTCCAGGCTATCCCAGGGTGGACAGGATCACTTGGAGAGCACTATAGGACTGATTCTCCACTGCCTTGCCTTTTGCATAGCTGTTTTAGACCTGTTCAGAATGTTTGTGCAAACAGCACCACATCAGCATGGTAACATGATCTCTCCACTTTGTATGGCTGAGACTACAGAAGGTACAAGATAGGGCAGAATTAAACCCGGTTCGTCCACTAAACCATCTGATGAATCCCTAAAATAGCACATTGTTAAATAATGCAGAGGCATTTGCATGTGTGCTTAAAATCACTTTCCCACACTGAGGAGTATCTGGATCCTAGTGCTGACCCAAAAATATTAGTGACTGTGTAATGGATTTTAATGTTAAAACAAACATGAACATATTGTTCAATGCAGGTTTTCTTCTCTTATAATAGCTGTTTTACATGGTGCTGGAAATACTTTATTGTGGAATTGTGCCATATTTAAATGAAAGAAAAGAAACCCTCCATCACATAGGATTTGGAAAGCTTCTAGTCTTTGAGATGTCTGGTTTTTTTTATTGGTTTAATTTTTCTGCAAGTCCAAGTGTGTAGAATAATCCCTATGTGCATGTTGTCTCCAGTTTGAAGGTTGTACAAAGGCCTACTCCAGACTAGAAAACTTGAAAACCCACTTGAGATCTCACACTGGAGAGAAACCATATGTGTGTGAGCATGAGGGCTGCAACAAAGCATTCTCTAATGCCTCCGATCGGGCCAAGCACCAAAACAGGACTCATTCCAATGAGGTAAGCAAGCACGCAGGCAGTGAAAGGGCCCTGGCTGCCCACAGACATACTGCTTTCAAAAGAATGTATTGTGGAATGCAGACACAAAAATCCTCAAGAAACATGAAATAGGTAAGTTAACAACAATAAATCATTTTAACAGCATGGTGATCTAAAGAGGCTCCTTGTCATTTTATCAAGAATCAAAGAGGGGGACTGACTGGGTGATTTTATGGAGACTTTGTGTGGTAACCAGTGAAAGGGCTGTAATCCAGTAATAATTTTCTCGCTCCCTGAAGTGGAGGGGACACTCAGCTCCCAAGGAGAGTTTTAAGCCTCCAATTGTTGTTCTATAGTGACATCTGCTGGCTAGTCAGGAACATCGTCATCTCTGCCAGGAATTTATTTGGAGTCCGAACCTATACATTGCCGAGCACCCTTGACTACCCACAAAGTGAATGGGAGCTAAGGAGGGTTTAGCATCTTGCTAGAGCTGCAGCAGGATTGGGATTTAGCTTCTTCAGCTGCTGTTGGTAAATATGGAAGAATCTCGAGGGGGCATGGCTTGTCCAAACTTCTGAGTTCTTCTCCCTACCCCTCTGTTCCACGTTTCGTTCTCTTTCCCTTTCAACTAGATTCTTTCCTAAACCTCATTCTTCCCTTCTCCTCAGTCTGCTCCCCGCTAGGCCTTCCAGAGAAATTAGCATCCTGGCTGATTGCATGGCCTGGAACCTGTGGTTCCTCTTCTCTCACAATCTCCCTCCATTTCCAAAACAAGCTCATCTTTCTTTGGTGATTTCCCACCACATCCATCACAGAAAGTCACTAGGGCTGGCATTCTCTTCAAATTTTGCAGTCTCTGTAACATCTGTGGGTCACAGATGACCCAGACAGCATTGCACAGCTCCATATTCAGGATAAACCTGGATGCATGTGTTCTGAAAACTTCTAGACTTGCTGATACATGATGGTGGATTTTGTAAATTATTACAAAAAGCAAAGGGTAGGAGATTTACCTAAACCTGTCCAATACCTGATCTAAACTTTGGGTTGGTTCATACTTTGTTGGAATCAATTTGTCCATCGATATAAGGCACAAACAAGGTGGGGTTTTGATCTGGACGCTTTGCTCTGCTTTTTAAGCTCTAGGTTTCACATTCAACAGTGAATCACTAAATTTAGTTATTATCATTGATAGAACATCACTTTCTTGCATTGGTGACCATGCAACTACAAAAGCGAGCAAACAAATAAACCCCAAATCTTACCAGAAATGTATTTCACAATGAAGTGCACTGATGCTATAGAACCAGACTCTCAGCTGGGTTTAAAGATTGACTTCACTGGATTTAAAGAAGAGCTGATAAATTTATGACCTCGAATAATAGTTATAGTTATGCTGGATCAGAATGATGGTGGTCATCAAATCCCATGCTTAGGCATTTAAACTGATGGCCTGTAGGGGGTGATGTATGAATTCCCCCCTTAGTAATTGGTCCAGTGCATCATAGAAGGATTTTGCTTTTCTCTGAACTTCAAGCATTAGGTACTGGACCACCCAGAGGCAGGATGCAGAATTAGATAAACCAGTGATCTGATCCAATACGGTAAATCCCATGGAGTCGATCTTCAGCTGGAGCTGAAGCTACATTGTTGTAGCTTTGTTGACTTCAATGGAGCTATGGCAATTTACTCCAGCTGAAGATCTGCCGATGTTCTTTCTTTGTTACATATGTAGCATAATGTGCATTGTGCTCCCTTCAAAACCAAGGAAGAGGAATAGATTTTATTAGGTGTGGTCAATGCTGAGACAGTTTCACAATGTCATCACTTTGTTAATGCATTCACTGTGGAAGGGTATAATTGTTACACTTACTGCGCTCAAAGGAACTCTTAGGAATCCTACAAGGAAACCAAATCTAACCTCAGCCTTTCTTCCCACCTGATCTGGCAGAAACCATATGTTTGCAAGATACCAGGCTGCACAAAGCGCTACACAGACCCCAGTTCTCTCCGGAAACACGTGAAGACTGTGCATGGCCCTGAGGCACACGTTACCAAGAAGCAGCGTGGAGATATTCATCCCAGGCCTCCACCACCAAGAGACCCAGGCAGTCATTCTCAATCCAGATCACCAGGCCAGCAGACTCAGGGTGCAACTGGCGAGCAAAAGGACCTCAGCAACACTACCTCAAAGCGGGAAGAATGCCTCCAAGTGAAAGCTGTCAAGTCAGAAAAACCAATGGTATGCAACATACTGTGCTTCTTTGTTTCTTCCTCTCTATTATCATTATTTGTTAATAAACTCCAGTGCACTACTTGGTTTTTTACAAAATCATGTATTTTAAATGGTTTTAAAAACAGTAACAAACAGCACTTTAAAGTCGCCTGATTTTCAGAAAATGCTAAGCACTGAAAATCTGACTCCTTTAAGGTCTCTCAAGTTCAGCACCCTAAAACTGAGGCACCTAAAATCACTAGTCACTCTTGAAGATGCAGGCCATAGTCTTTAATTATGTGATTGCATATTCTATCTGAAAGCATGAAACATTTTTTCTCTACAATCTTAGGTACACATTTATCTAAGATATTTGATTATGAATCCACAGGTAATACCAAATATATGCATGCAAGGGGGCAGAGCCAAAGTTGTGTGTTCAAACTGAACTTTCACATTTTCTCGGTGTTTAATTGTGAATTCTTCATTTTGCTTTCATATAGGTTTGTGCAATTAATTTCCTGTAGTATTTTAATCCTTTAATAAAAAAGTCCCCAAGTCTATAAGAAGTAGGCACTGTTTCGCGAGACCAGTTGACACCTACCAACTAATAAACCAGAACACTTGGGCTCAGCATCTCAAAGCTATCAATGGGAATTAGGCATTTAAATACCTTTGAGGATCTGGTCCTTGTAGGCCAGTGTTTGTTAGCATTGCAGGCTAAGTATAGTACACTTTTCCATGCTTCTGTGTATATATATACCCTTAGAATTAAGAAGTCCTTAAGGCAGCATGAGCATCTCCTGCCCAGCCATCCAAATTATGCCAATTTATGCTAGCAGAGGATCTGGCCCAAAGTCTACATTTAACCAGTTACACATGATGCAGGTAAATAATTACTATGTAAACAGTGACTATGATTTTCAGTAATGCTGAGCACTCAAAAATCTACAGAAGTCAGTGGGAGCTTTGGAGATTCCTCACCCTTGAAAATCAGGATAGTATGTGTAAAAGACTAGCCAGTACTACAGAAATACAACATATGTTTATAGTTTAGGGGCCATTGCTGCTTCTTTTGAAGTCAACAGGAAGTTTGTGATTAACTTCAATGGAAGCAGGATCATTTTCTTAAGAACCTGTTCTGCAGGCTCTTAGTACCAGGCATACAGCTTACTGGCAGTCTCTGGGAATGGTGAGTAGTCCTAAGCACTACTCTCTATCACAGGGGTTTGCAGGACCACTGCCTTAATTAATGTTTGTTCAATGCTTTGTAGGTTTAAAGTGACCTATGATGAATGCTAAGCATCATCTTCATGATGAATATATTTGTAAGTCTGTATGTGTGGAGAAAAACGTTAACAGATTTAGATATAAAATCATGATTCCTGATGTATAGTATTGGTGTCTTATTAACTGATACTCTACAGAATTCACTATAAAAGCCAATTGCCTATAGATGCAATATTATGGGCTTACTTAAAATGTCTCGATAGTTAAGGTTCCACCAGGATTTTCCTTTAATGGGACCTTTGGAATATTATATGATTTTTAACTTTCCTTCCCTTTACATGTTAACTAATGATGGGGAATTATTTTCTTGGCTTATGGGAGGAGAGATGAATCAATAATAAATGCCAACATTTATTTCCCAGACCTTCATTGTGATCTGCGCAGACTGACTGTTGCACAGAAAAATCAAGGGGCTCCACAAGGATACAGCAGTTTGCTTGTGTAGATTACAGTGCAGGATCATGGTCTTACTGATCGGGCTTGTCTACATGAACAATGAGACTGTGGCAAGCCGGGGTGTGAATCGTCCCCTCACTAGTCTGATGTGGACTAGCTGTCCATGAGCATTCTTCTGGGTGCACATTGACAGTTCATTAATGTGCTTTGGGATAGTCCCATTTCAAAGAGGATTGGGTCAAAGTGCTCTCACAGATTGCTAGTGCATATCAGAGGGATGCACGTGGGCAGCATGTGGGCAGTTACATTGCAGCAGGCTAGTGTGGGGTAGATTCACGCCTACCGCTTCCCATGGTCTAATTGTTTGTGTAGACGAGCTCTGTGGCTCTAGTTTTCAAACCAGATCTTCTTATCTGAAGAACAACATGGCCCCATAGTTATCTGCCCCCACTATTTTGTGTCCATGGTTTATTCCTGCTTTCCCCTCGCAATTCATTATCTGTTTTTGAAAAGCACAGTTTAAGAGCTAGGTATTTATTATTAATTATTATTATTATTGTTGTTCACTGCAATCACAGGATTGGATCAGCCAAAATGGAGGTGTGGTTTGATAGATGTAAGCCCTCCCAGTTCAGGAGCTATTAAATATTGATACACATTTTTCAAACAAAAAAATGGTTTCATCAAAAATTGCCTTTTTTCCAAACTGAAAATTTTCACAGATTTTTTTTTATTTTCCATTTTTGAACTAAATAGAAAAACAAGAAATTTTGCTTTTTTTCTGGTTTTTAGTTTATTGCTTATCTGTTTTCCCTGCCCCCTGCCAAAGGAAAATAGAAAAAATAAAAAGTCGTAGGAAATGGGGAAACAAGATCAAAAGAGTGAGGAACAAAACAGAAAAAAAATGGAAAATAAAAACTGCAATAAAAATGAGTGTGAAAAAATTCAAATAAAGGAAAAGGTGTTGGGGCGGGGGACGAGGGGTTGAGTTTTTTAAACCAGTGGAACAAAAATAATTTTGTAATTTTGAGTAAATGTTTTGGTGTTTTCATTTTTTACTAGATCTATTAAATAATGAAATATTTTCTCTAAGTAACTATGTCTAGTGCACCCTTCTCTCAAGGGGGATAGAACTAGATAAAGAAGTTAACTCATTCTCTGCCATATCTGGATTCACAATATCTTCATGCCCATCCATTGGGGAATAAAAAGCTACTCACATAATCCTAACTCTGCTTAGTAGCTTCAGTACCTACCAGGGTAGGAGTTACTCCATGACTAAGGTTACCACTTCAAACCCTAATTAGGTAATAGTTTTCAGTTAATAATAATCCAAGGGTGCAGTGTAACTCCCAATGTAGTCAAAAGGCAGTCATTTGTTGACATTAGTAGTTATTACATTATGCTCTGTGGGCCCAAGCCATTCCTGCCACTTTTACTTAGGTGAGAAGTCCATTGCTGTGAATGAAACTAGTTGAGTAAGAGGCACTAACATGAGTAAAGCTTTGCAGGATTGGGCCTTAAAACAAGTTAGTTTTTTATGAATGGTATTGAATATTTCCCACTGTAAATCAGCTCTACAAATAGGTGATTAAAATGTAATTTAGTTGGCTTTCTTTTCTTGGTTTTCATTGCTATATGAGTTAAGACATGTCCTTTGTTTTTCTACTAATCCAATGTTTCTTCTGTCTAATGCGCTTAAATGTCTTGTTCTAACTTCCTAAGGACAGTGGGTAATAAGGTGAGGGGATTTAAACTTCTCTGGCTTTTTTCATTGCAACATTTTTTCTTTTTTTAGTCTTTTGCTTCTTGTCAAATCATTCTTTTATTTAGTAAGAAGCATTCCATCAGACACATTCCCAAAGATGTGTAATGTACATTTTCCAAAACACTTGGCATGTGAAATAGCTAGATCACATCGATGAAATAGTTTCAGGTGTATTTGATTATATATATCATATTTATGTATATACATATCTATAGAGATACGTTCCCATGATCATTTTCTCTACTTCTGACTCATTTTGACCAATTTGTGTGGCTACAAGAACAGGCTTCTGACCATTAGCATTCTTTATTGATTATTATTATTATTTATTAACTCTTGTACAATGGGTACAAGCTCACTGCTCCCAGATAACATTTATTCTTTAGTGCCCTCACCAGATCTGCAGTGACGGAGATTTGGAAGTGCACCACATTCCGAGTGGACTTATAAAATACAATCATTATCATTGACATTAGAAATAATTCAAATTATTATTACACTCAAGTATTCATCACAGTCACACTAAGCCGCCATTCTGGCACAGGCCTATCTCTTTATTCACTTTCTTGTTAGAATTCAAAGACATCACTGATAACTACAAAATTCTAGTGAGCCGTCCTAGACAAGAGTTTGCACAAAGATCACGTGGTGACTGAAAATGCAAAAGCCTAAAAGTAAAATAATAAAATAGATACGTGTTTATGAGACTGTTCTTGGAAGCAAAATGATTTTGCATGTCATACAGATTTGTGGTTGTAATAGCTAACTGGTGCATCCTATAATGAAGTATTACTCCTAAAGAATCCCTCTCTCTCTCTCGCCCTCTCCCCCCCCCCCAATAATTTTCTCATTCTTGTAGGGAAGACGCTCTTGAGTACTTCAAAGACCCTGTATTTTATAGCCACAAGAATACCACTACAATAAAATAAACATTTCGGAACATTTGTCTTACCTGTTTGTTTAAAAGAGAAAATGGAGTTGTGGCAGGTCAATGCCCCTTGTAGAATATCACCTTGGGCTGTGATCGTGCCACAAGTCTCGGAGATCGCCAAGAAAGTGAAAGTTTTGATTCAGTAGATGACTATCTTCCCAGTGAGGATACATCTATACTGGATCTGAAGGTGTATTTTCCAGCCCAGTTTGATGTACCTGTGCAAGCTCTTATCAAGTTAGCATGCTAAAAATAGCAGTGTGGAAGCTGCAACAGGCTAGCTGCCCCAAGGGCAATTCCACGTGAAACATGTGTACACACTTGAGGCGGTTAGCCTGTCCCGGTACACTCAGCACTGCAACGGTGCTTCTATTTTTAGCCTGCTGCCTCAATCAGAGCTAGCACAGGTATATCTACTGGAGCTGGAAATTACACATCCAGCTCCAGTGCAGACATAGTACTGAAAAAGTGTTACACTTGAGTGTGCTGCTGGAGTCTTCCATATGATCTTTTGTTCTTGTCATTAATGCAAAGAGAACTTGTAATGAGCAAATACGTTGTTTTATTCTAACGTCATGACCATCCAACACCGTTAAAACCAGAGTCTGCCCCCAGCTGAAGCGTGCCGAGCTCTGTCTGCTTTCAGAATCCTGCACTGCAGTGTGACAGAGGACTTGACTTTAGAACAGCAGCATCCATTTTACACATATGGGACATAAAGCTGAGGTCCTTACTACCTGTGGCCAGTCAGAAATCGTGGTCCCAAGGGTGCTGAGATAAAGCTGATATTACGTTATATTTCTACATTGAAATTTGTTCATTTCTCATTATTATATGCCAAAGTTTAAACCCTCAAAGTGCTTGTAGCAGTGCTTCTGTACTTCTTGAATATTATCAAACACTTCAAATTCTTTGCCTGTATACTTTTTTTAAAAAGCCCAATGTTGTTGGGTTGTTGTGGTTTTTTGCAGACCTAGTACTATAAATTAGCCCGGTGTCTTGGTCAAATTCCAGTTTGGGTAATTACTTTCAAATTATCTAAATGTGGTCTTGGTCCATGACTGGGGGGTCCTAGACACCACAATAATACAAGTAATAGTAATAATAAAATTTATCCTGCAATTGGATACAGGACATATCTGAAACCTGTAAAGTGATTTAATTGATCTGGGATCTTTTCAGATGAATAGAGTAATACAGATGTAATGGATTCTCTGTTAGTAAAATGCTGAGATGAATTTTAACACTGGGGGTGGGGAGGGTGTTCTCAATAGTTTTCAGTGTGGTTAAAAGTCAAGTAGTTGGGTACCAGAAAGCCTTTAATCAAAGATCATTGTCATCTGTTTAAACTTAGCTTTTAGGTTCATTTGTTTTTCTTTGACTCAATATGAAATAATGTCTGTTTACGAGATACATTTGAAATCAATTCATTAGCATTCTTTGCCTAATCCTAATTATCATTCATTTCTTATTTCACTCCAACAGACATCTCAGCCAAGCCCTGGTGGTCAGTCTACATGCAGCAGCGAACAGTCCCCCATCAGCAACTATTCCCACCATGGGATCGAGCTTAATCTGACCAGTGGAGGTAGTGTAGGAGACCTCAGTGTCATTGATGAAACCCCAATCATGGACTCTACCATTTCCACCGCAACCACAGCACTTGGCTTACAGGCCAGGAGGAACATGACAGGGACCAAATGGATGGAGCAAGTCAAATTAGAAAGGTTGAAACAAGTTAATGGAGTGCTTCCAAGACTGAATCCCATTCCACCTTCAAAAGCCCCAACCTTGCCACCTCTCATAGGAAATGGTGAGATATGTATAACTGGATTAATCGTACTTTCATTCTTTAAATTCGTCCTCTTAGGGCTTGATGTTTCAGGACTTACACGGACTGTACAACTCATGAAATTCAGTGGGAGTTCTACTTACCTAGGAGCTGTAAGACACCCCTACATTTTTCAATACAGTATAAATATATTTTCCATTTAAATTAGAAATTGTACTATACTCGTAGAAGTTGGTAATCCCACATTTTATATTCCTGGAAGTGAGTATTGCCAGTTCAATTAGTTACTAAAATCTAAAAAGCTTTTTTTAAGAGTATGTTTCCCTAGTCTGTGTCAATCAGCATAGCTCCATTTTAGTCAATGGAACTACATCAATGGATGACAACTGAGAATGTATTGGGGCTCACATTGAAATGATGTTCTTGAATCTGTGAGCCCCTATACAAGAGTGCTATTTAGCCCTACTTGTGATTAGAAAACGATCTTGACTTCCTAGAATCGTATGGGTATTTCCTTGAAATGCCTGTTACTTGTCTCAGACTCTGAGTGTTTTCTATAGTTGGTCCTGATTAATATTCATTTATCTGTGAATTTTACCACCAGGTATCCAGTCAAGCAGCAGCTGCAGTTTAGGAGGATCCATGACTATTCTACCCAACAGAAATGAAATTTCAAGCATGGACATCACAGTGTTAAATATGCTGAACAGGAGGGACAGCAGCACCAGCACAATCAGTTCCGCCTACTTGAGTAGCCGTAGGTCCTCTGGAATTTCACCTTGCTTTTCCAGTCGGAGATCCAGTGATGCTTCCCAAGCTGAGGGAAGGCCTCAGAACATGAGCGTCGCCGACTCCTATGACCCCATCTCGACTGATGCCTCCAGGCGATCCAGTGAAGTGAGTCAGTGTGATGGCCTGCCAAGCCTACTCAGCCTCACCCCAGCCCAGCAATACAGGCTGAAAGCTAAATATGCAGCAGCTACTGGTGGACCCCCACCAACTCCACTGCCTAACATGGAGAGGATGAGCCTCAAAACAAGGATGGCACTGTTGGGTGATTGCAGGGAGTCTGGAGTATCTCCTCTGCCTCCAGTAAATGCTCCTCGTAGATGTAGTGATGGCGGGGCAAATAGTTATAACAGGAGGCACTTTCTGCCTCATGATGTGCTGGGAAATGGGACAAGGAGAGCCAGTGATCCAGTAAGAATGGTCTCTGACAACCTTTCTCTGCCTAGAGTCCAGCGATTCAACAGTCTTAATAGCTTTAACCCTCCTGTTTTGCCTCCATCTATGGAAAAGCGAAACTTTATTCTTCAGAACTATACCCGCTCTGATGGCGGCCTGTTCCGTAACGTCTACTCCCCATGTCCTCCGAGTATCAGTGAAAATATCACCATGGAGGCCGCTACAATGGAAGCGGATGGTAGTCTGAATGATGAGGATCTCCTGCCAGACGATGTGGTTCAGTATTTGAATTCCCAGAACCAGGGCATGTATGACCACTTGCCAAACGATGTCCTGGACAATAACAAAGTGCATCATGGGTCAGCGATAGGGAACAACAACTTTCACCAGGTCCCTTCACCAAACAGTCAACAGACCAGCTCTGAAGCAAACAAAAGCGATCTGCCAATCCAGTGGAATGAAGTAAGCTCAGGAAGTTCCGACTTGTCTCCTTCAAAAATGAAATGTGGTCCACGCTCGGCAGGCCAGCAAACTCGAGCTTTTGGACTATATAACAATATGATGGTCCAGCAGCAGAACCTGGAGAGAAATGGTATGGCCCTACAAAATGGCTATCAACATCTTGTGGAAAACAACAGCTCTTACAGTTTACATCAGAACATGATTAGCGGCAACACCACCACCAGTAACCCTTTCAACATGCAGGCAAATAAGGCGCAGCCATATGGTGAAAGCAGCACCAGACAACCAATGATTTCTGGGGCAATGGACAGTTCCTATGGCATAGTGATTCAAGGGCAGAAGTTGAGAAACAACAGCATGCTAATAAACAAGAGTCAACAAAACTTTGGCCATCCCATGGTGCCAGGTGAGCAGTCTGTCAGTATAGCTAATGGGATGCAGAATAGAAATACGATAGAACCGGAATACCCACAAAATCAGCCAATAGGGGAAGGCATTCATTATCAGGGAGTCAATCAAGTCAATCAAATGATAGGGCAGGTTAGTCCTACCTCACAAATCAGCCTTTGTCAAGGGCCACAGAGTTGTCCACCAATGTCTCACAACATTGGAAACCAGCAATCAGGTTTGGTGGTGACAAAGAGTTACCAGCCATGTGCCAACTATGGAGGCAACAGACGGCAAAACATGCTGAGAAACAACCTGGCACAACAGCAAGGATTTATAAGCGATGCAAACCAGACATACAGGGTAAATGGCATTAAGATGGAGATGCAAGGTCAATCACAACAGTTCTGCTCTAATATGCAGAATTACTCTGGTCAGTTATATGACCAACACATGGGCTTTACTCAGCAAGCCATGAAAACAGGTTCTTTCTCTATTTTGGAAGCTAACTGCCTGCTGCAGGGGACTGGTACTGCAAACTCATCTGAGCTTCTTTCCCCAGGGGCTAACCAAGTGACAAGCACAGTTGACAGCATTGACAGCAACAGCCTAGAAGGTGTGCAGATTGATTTTGATGCTATCATAGATGATGGGGACCATGCCAGCCTAATTTCAGGAGCCCTGAGTCCGAGTATCATTCAGAATCTCTCACACAATTCTTCACGCCTCACCACTCCCCGAGCGTCTCTTACATTCCCAGCTATGCCTGTGAGCACAACAAACATGGCTATTGGGGACATGAGTTCTTTGTTGACCTCACTTGCAGAAGAAAGCAAGTTTCTTGCTGTTATGCAATAGACATGGGGAAAAAAAACCTTACGAGATAACAGATAAAAAGTGACTCATTTTTTAGTTGTGTATGTATTTTAGCAATCTCATCTCACCTAAATGGGATGTGTTTCAAGTATATTCCTTTTATGGAATAAGGACTCCGAAAACCCTAAAGTGTTCTAGGGAGAAACTGTCTTCCATTTCAGTTTTGAATCAGTATTGTTAGACCCACTCCTCTCTCTCTTTTTTTTTAAATGTCTGTATACTTTTTTTATTGTAAACCAATGTAAACGTGTGAAGTGCATGTTTTGTTTTGTTTTTTAAAGGAAGGTCTAATGAAATGACTTTGCAATTTTCTTTTACTCAAAGGAAACACAGTCTTGTATGATTGTTGCCAATGTTTTTATTTATGTAGGCACAAAACAACCAGGCATGATATACAGAGTAGATACAGTGAGTAAAGAGAGCATCTGTGAATGCGTTGCTGTAAGGTGGACAACTGGTCTATGAACAAATCTGCTCATACTGTTCCCTGATCAAGTACCCATAACTGTGTGGCAAAAGATATCTGGCTTTAGCAAATAAGAAATGCAAAATCAACAAACTATTTTGTCCCGAATAAGTATGTGTGTATGTACACAAGCCCACATACACAGACCTTGCACTGCAACTGGTGAGCCGAAACTGTACCATTTCTATGACAACCCCCTTTTGGAGGGTTTAAAAAATCCCTTTGTGAACACAATTCACATATTTAGCAGAATTTGGTCGACACTTTTTCCAGACATTATTCGACAAGAGGAGAAGAAAAATAAATGGATGTCTGGTGATTTGGGTATTTTTTATACTCTTCATCAAATACAGCATTAATTTTTGTAATTGCAATAATTACACCTAGTTCTGCACTGTTGAAACTAGGGGAAGTTTTGCCATTTGCTTTAGTGAGTGAAGAAACAGGCTCTAAGGTCCAGATGCTCAAAGGTATTTGGGTGCCTAATTCCCATTGATTTTAATGAGAGTTAGGTGTCTAAATACCATTGAGGCTCTGGGCCTAAGTCCATAAGGTAGCCCAGTGTCGTTTTAATTCAGGTGGAGGTTTTAAAAATCAGCTACTCACTGTCCCCAGAACAATTGCTTTTTCACAGTTATTTAGTAAAAATCTTCACTATTCACTTGCGGCAGAGTACATATTTTTTATTAAACATGTAAACTCCTATTGACATACAGCACACTAACAACTTGAACCATGAATCTATGGAAAAAAAAAAAAAAGATCTTTACAGTCGCATTGACCCAATGGGCCTGATTGGTTCTTGGCGATCACAAGGGTGTTTAATATGTCCCCAAAGCGCTTTTTTTTTTTTATTATTTTTACTTTTAACATTTTAAAATCTAAACTTCCGATTTAAAAAATAGGCAAGGAAAGTGTCAGTAAAGAAATTATATCCTGGTAAGAAGAGTCTTAGCTAAAGCTAAAAACGCAAGAGAAGTCCTTGGCACCAGCTTCCCTCTCATTTTGATTCGATTCACTGGCCCAAGTTCTGCTTTGTCACACCAGCACAAATCTAAACTAACACCATTGATTTCAGTGGAGTTATGTGAGGTTTACACTGCTGTAACTGAGTACAGAATTTGGCACATTTTGTAATTTAGGGCCTATTCTGCTCCCCCTAGCACAGCAAAGCTCTCATAGATGCAGGAGTGAGTCCTGAACTCTTGAGGGTAAAATTAACCGCTGTGCAGAAGACCTAGACAAGGTCTATCCCCTACATAAGTCTCATTGAAGTCCTATTTTGAATGCTTACTGGGATCTTAAGGTTTATGCCCCTCCCTCTGTACACAAGTGAATTGCACCCACAAGTAGTAGATTTGTTGAGGAAGCATGTAGTTAAATGTTAGTCAGCATTGGAGCCCACTTTAAAGTCTAGCATAACATCGGGTGTGAGTTCCACAGACTTAAAGCTTGTGTTATTGTTGTTACTCAGCTGCATTCAGAGTAAAATAAAACCCAGCTGACTTAGATCTCTTGTGAATATGTGTGAACACAAGCTCTGTCAGTCCAGTATAATGGGCCACTCCACTAAAGTCCAAGGAAGAATTTCTAAATCAGTATGCAACGTAACAGGGAGCCAGTGTTGGAATAGTGTATACGCTCATTACAGTGTGTGGTACTATGTTCTAAGTAACTTACATTTGAGATGTTTTGCAAGGGAGAGCCAGAAAACAAGAAATGTAAATTCTCCAGAAAGAATAAGGCCCCTCAGCAATAGCCCTACAGGCTTCCTAGCTCAGATCCTACCTTCCTTAGCATTCCTCACAGCTGTAACAAGCATTATAGAGCCGGTGCTGGGCCTAAGCAGACTGAGCAATTGCTTAGGGCCATGAGCAGTTCACTTTTTATCGTAAGAATGTGCCTGTTTTACTGTTGTGGGGAGGGACCCCAAAATATTCCTGCTTAGGGGCTAAAACTGGCTCTGCCTTCCATGGTCCTGTTCATTGGCTCTTCCTCCCTCTGCTAGCTTCCTCTCCCTCTGTTCCATGCTGGTTTCCTTCAAGCCATATTGCCTGCAATCCCCATGCAAACCATCACCCTCGTTGCTTCCCTGCCGTTGGTGGGAATCAGTAACAAGGGACGCAGGTTGCACTGGGCTTCGAGGCAATATGGCTAGGGAAGGGAGCCGGCATGTCAAATCGTTTTTCTGTAGTGGATACACAATGTGAGTCAAGACTTGCTCTTCCATGGCTGGAGAACATCCCTCATTCTCAGAAGAATGGCCCTCTCTTTCCTAGTATTAAGCAGCTATAAACTGGCCAGTTCTTTAAGGGTTATCAGCAATCTTCTGTGAGACTCAGACACAACAGAATTACACTGCGTACCATTAAATCACAATAGTTACTGCTCCAGGTGTTATCTTTTACTTAGGGGCTTAGAAGGTATCATGGTACCCTAATTAGAGACCGTCCATCTCCTTGTTTGACACCCCACCTCCCCATAGCATGAGCAATCAGCTGAGACACTGAAACTAACAGTCCACTGGGTTAAAAAGAGGGTGTTGATTACAAAACATTCTCCATGCCAGACCGCAGTTTCCTCTGGCCCTTTGATGGGCTTCAGGGCACATTGGGCGGCCTGTCTCCTTTCCCTGGGAAGTGAGGAGTAGCTGTTTAGTGCTGCTGGTCATGCTTTATATTTACTGGGGAGGTGGTTCCACTTAGAAGGGGTTAGTAAATCATGAATAGCTGTTAAAACCATGTTGCAGACATGAGAGGTATGTGTTATGGAAGCTCATAAGCGGAAGGTATTACTGCTGGTTACAATAATAATGATGCCTCGCTTGTATATAGCACTTTTCACAGTAGGTCTCAACACACTTTACAAATGATGTCAGTGTCATTATCCCCATTTTACAGAGGGAGGAAACTGAGACACAATGCTGAAGTGACTTGGCCAAGGTCATCCAGCAAGCCAGTGGCCAAAGCGGGAAACAGAACCAATGTCTGCCAAGTCCAATGTCCTATCCAATAGGCCATATTGCCATACTCATAAGCAACAAAAAGTGACTGATTATTAAAATATCCATTCATCATTTATAGACTATATATGGAACCTTAATATAAAGTGTGACTAGTGTTGGAGTCAATGGCTTGGGGAAATCTCTTTTGGAGCCAGCCTTTAAAAATTCGTGTTTAATTTTTGGTTATGAGATAATCCTCTATTAATTAGCACATTTGACAACAAAGTAACAATGGGTTTCATAGATTTTTTCCAGGAGAAGGGCCAATTAGCTAATGTAGTCTGATCTCCTGTATATCACAGGCTATTAATTTTCATCCAGTTACCCCTTGCTTGAGCCCAATAACGTGTGTTTGTGTTTGGCTAAAGCATAGCTGTCAGAAAGCACTGATTTGACAACCTCAAGAGTTGGAGGAGCCACCATTTCCCTTGGTAGATTGTTCCACTGGTTAAGAACTCTCCTGTTAACAAGTTGTGCCTAATTTGTCACCTTTTGGTCTCATTATGCCTTTCTCTGCTAAAGTATCCAGTAGTTTCTCCCCAAGCAGGTACTTACACACTGTATGCAGGTACTTACATGTCTTCTTTTTAATAAGCTGAATGTATTGAGCTCTTTAAATCTCTCACTGTGAGGCATTTTCTCCAGCCCTCAAATAATATTGTGGCTCTTTTCTGAACCCTCACCAATTTTTCAACCTCCTTTTTAAACCATGGGCACCAGAACTATATACAATAGCTTAGTATTGATCACATCAATGTCAAATACGGGGGGGGGGGGGGGAAGCACACCTCCCCATTCCTACTCCTTTGCTTAAACAACCAAGAATCAGATTAGCCCTTTTTGCCACACCAGTTAGTATTTCAAGGGAAGTTGGCAACCAGACTCTGTGCCCTCCCTCCCCAATTACTATAGTGGGGTAAATGTGTTTTTTAATGGCAGCCACTGTCATTAAGAATAGCAGTGGAAGCACTGTCATGCTAAAAATCCGTGTGTGCGTGTCTTCTCTCCAGCCTGACCTTCAATAGAGTTTTTTGGTCCCTTCAGCTTCCACCTTTGTTTATCCTTAAGAGCACTGCTCTTGTTCGGCATGCATGATTTCCTTTTGCAAAAATGAAAGACCTGCTTGTGCCCTCCTGTGTGTTCAGTTGCATCCATCAGGTACAGTTGGATGTATGACAGGTACTTTTGGAGGTAGCGAAGGAGAAGTCCAGAATGGGTTTGATATCGAGCACTGTGGACTTGGCTATCCCAATAGCAATGTAGAATTTTAATCTCCTTCTAGGCAAGCTTCTAAAATGGTACTTGCATTTAAGATTGGCTTTGTTTCTTTCATTTTTAAGACGACATGGGCAGAATAGTAGTTAGCCAGCCCATGTTAGACTATGGCTTGTCCTACTAAACAACAGTGTTTCAATGTATGTGCCTTATTTTGTGTTGATCCTGTAAAAGAGAGGGACCAAGAACTATTGCCAAATTTTAGCTATAAGGCTGTGCTTACCATTCAGCTAATAGCACATACCACTGTTAATAGTATCTGAAATGTCTTGTAAACCTCTGGTATTCATGTGTTGTTGTTCTTGAATTGATAGAATGTCCTCTATTAAAAATTTACCATTGTCAATCCTGCAGATGTGTAAGATAAAAGTGTTCATTTTTCATTTTTTTTTTAGATTTTTATAAAACTTGTAATCATTTTTTTAATGTGTAAATACATTTACCTACAGTAGGAATAGTGTTCGGATGTAATAGGCCTTAGTGGTCTTCATTTGATAAACCTACAGTTATGATCTGATGTTTCCCGAACCTTAGATCAATCTGAAGGGTCTGTAGCACTGTGTACATATAAACTGTACTTCTGCTTTCAGAACCACTTAGCTCTTTTGTAACAAAGAAAAAATGTTTCTTACAATGTCAATAAAAACAAAACCTTTGTACTGAAGTTCTTAGCTTGCAGCTTTTTAAAAATGTCTTTGTGGTGGATGACAGGGTGGGAGCCATGTTTAAATACTTGCCATCTCTCTGCTTTCTGTTGATCTTCTTCCAGGTGTAATTTCGGATCATGTATCAGTTGGCAGGTTCTTCTGATGCATGTTTCCTTTTATGTTGGAATGATGGGCTGGGTTACTCCAAAGCACACTTCATGGCTAAAACTATTTCATCTACATTTTAAAATACTCACACAGGGATAAAATGTAGCATTCTTAATCCCCCTCTTGCACAATACAAGAAAAAGGCTAGTTGATGAAATTGAAAATGCAACAAATGTAAAATGGCTAAAAGAAAATGCTTTTTGTGCATAGCACGTAAGCGATCTGTGGAACTCACCACCGCAAGACAGTATCAATAGCAGTCAAATAAGGATTAGCCATTTAGTAACTACATTAGAGAGGATAATAAAAATATTAATTTATGTAATGATAGTTCTTAGACGTCTCAGTCAGATCAAAGTGCTATACAAACATATAGGGCTACATTCTGACACCTTTTTGTTGAGTAGTACTTTATTCCACAAGTAGTCTTATTCAAGGGATAAACCAAGTGTGGGAGTGGAGGTTAGGAAGAGACAGGTTCCATAAGTGTCAACTATGGATTTTTTTTTTGCACCCTTCTCTGAAGCACCTGGTACTGACCACTACATGGATCCATCTTGGCAATTCCTATGGTCTTGGCTGTTTATTTTTAACCCATACAGACATTGCAGACTTAATTTCACAAATGGAATATAAGTTCTCCAGAAGAGTGGCCATCTCTTTGTTAGCTGTTTGTAATGTCGCCAAGCACAATGGGGCCCTTGTCTCTTGGCACTACGTCAATACCAATAATATATAACAACAACAGATGCTAATATCATCTGCTACTAAACATCTTGGGCCTAATTCTCCACTATCACATTAACGAAGGCTCCAGAATCATTCTTATGCCTGCTTTCTCTTTGAGCCCCTGATTCTTTCATTATTTAGCCACAGTAGAACAGCTTCAACACTGGGCTAGAGAGAGAGAATGATTCTCTAGCCCGGCAGTTAGCGAACTTGAGGACCCAGTCCCCCAGCTCCAAAGATGATTTTTAACTATTAACTAGGGCTGTTGATGAATCGCAGTTAACTCACACAATTAACTCAAAAAATGAATTGTGATTAATTGTTGTTTTAATTGCACTGTTAAACAATAGAATTCCAATTGAAATTTATTAAATATTTTTTGATGTCTTTCTACATTTTCAAATATATTGACTTCAACTACAGTGCAAATGTTTGTAATAAAAATAAATATAAATTGAGCTCTGTACATTTTGTATTCTGTGTTGTAATTGAAATCAATATATTTGAAAATGTAGAAAACATCCAAAAATATTTAAATAAATGGTATTCTATTATTGTTTAACAGCGCAGTTAATTTTTTTAATCGCTTGACGGCCCTGCTATTAACCAAAGTGACTTCACGGCTTCAACAGGCGTGACTGATATTTCATAGCCCCATGGGTAAGGCACTCTCACCTGAAAGGTGGAAAATCCCAGTTCAGTACCTTCACTCCCTCAGATGGAGGGGGGACTTGAGCTGGTGAGTACCCTAACTATTGGGCTGAAAGTTATAAGAGACGTTTGACTCCTTCTGTGCCTGCTAAAACCGTGTAGGTGCCTAACACCAAGAGAGAATTTGCAGTTGAGACTCCCAAGTGGAGGGAGGCGCTTCCCTGCAGTCTGGACTTAGGCAGCTATCTCCAAGAGAGAAATGGGCTTAATGCACAACCCTCAGCTCAGTATCTCCCATTGGCTACCTTGGATGAGGAACCATCTAGCCTGCTGGCTTTTGTGAATCCCATTCTGGGGGCACCTCTCTCACCCCATTCATTGTGCAGGGATCTTGAGATCCTAGTTCAGGCTTTGTTACTTTCTAGGTGCCCAAAAGTTAGGCAGGGTGGCATTCAGCATCACACCTAACTGCCTTTGTACATCCAGGCCACTGCCTCTTTCTGGATATTTTGTGCCAATCCAAATAAGATCTCAGGCAACAGCCATTCCAAAAAGAGAAGCCAACTGTTTTCTACTGTAGTTGATTCCCTCCTCCCACTCTTCCTCCTTGTGTGTCTCATTTGAACTAGTTCAGCAACAGCTGTCAGTGGATATCTGCAAAGCAAAGGGTATGGAGGAGGAGGGGGCTGCTAGTGGCATTTTGACAGGTGTATATGCTGGCGGGACTGCAGCAGCAGGGAGCTATGTGGTATGGGTTCCACAACGTCCAAAATGACCCCCAAGGCAGCTGCATTCCAAGGCTGGTGGGTCTAAAAGCCGCACATTAAGAACTACAGCAGCAATGTCAGGCCTGCACCTCATCCTTTTGGATAAACTTCGGGCTGCTGATGGTCTCTGGAATTCACTTTGCAAAGGATTCAGGCTACTGGCAGCCAGGGAAAGCAGGAAGTAACCATGTTCTAGGAACCCATTTCAAACCCGAGCAAGCACTAAGCCAATTAGTGTCTTAAATGACATACACTGGCACGATTGCTTTTCCCTTCCCTCAGTTAAGTATCTGGCTTTTCTCTAAGCCAGGCATTATGGGACCGAAGAAAGGACCCCAAAACTGTGACCCCCCCCCATGTAAATAGGCCCATTGCAACCAAGGTGACTACTCACAAAAGCAAGGGCTACACATGCAGATAAGAGTTGCGGGCCTAAAACTGGCAATTGCTACACTGCTCTGCTTCGCTGGCAGTGGAGTCCAACGCCACTGCTGAAGTGTGACTCAGCGAGGTGTTGAAATGAAGGAAGGTGGCCAGACTATTCAGTATCGCTTTACTTGCCAGCTGGCTGAAGAAAAGCATTAACATTTGCCAAGCCTGGGGAATGGTACCACAAAGTAGCCAAGTGAATGGGAAGGAAAGAAGAGAGCTGGCAGGTTTAAATATTAGGCTTCAAGGAAGTTTGGTGCTTTAAAGTCTCAGGGAATGAGAGCGTGTTGTAGTAGTAGAAGTTAGATATAGCTGGCAAAGAAGCTAACAGCAAGGAGAAAAAGAAAAGGATCTTGCCCGGTGTTGTTTTTAACTATTGCCAAAATACTGAGAGTGCTCTGAGCACAGCAGAAAGGAAGTCAGTCATGCTCCCTGTCCTGGAGAACGTATATTTCAAGAGCTTGACTGAGCCTCTAGCAGAGAAAGGGCAATGCAAAGCGGCACTTCCCTGGAAGGAACTGTGAAGGTCACATTGCTCCTGGGTGAGGGAGTAGTCTCCTACATCCCTGCTTCCAGGGATGTAGCAGGCTTTCACCTGCACATCCACATGTCTCCACTGGCTGCTACATGGTGAGATGAAACGTTAGCACCGCCCAGTCTCCGCTTCCTTGTGGGGTAGGGAAGCGTATCAAGCATTCAGAGGCCCAAAGGGACTTAGGCATTGCAAAGCCTAACTACCCCATGGAACCCACAAACTCAGAATTCGGTGCCTAAGAATGGGATCTGCAAAAACTACCAACTGCCTACACTAGCCAATAGCCACCCAACAAGGGGTGCAAGTCCTAAGCCCTACCCCTTGCAAGGAGTTAGGCTGGAGGGTGTTGCATAGCTCTACTTGTGAGAGACAGCTGGGAGCCCCCTCCTGGTAGCTCCTCTGTTTCTTTCAAGAACAGCAGCAGCAGACCCCTACTTCCATACAACATGGCAGCGGGAGAAAGGAAGCCTCCCTTATAACCTTTCCCCCAGGGGTTAAAGAATTCACCCCCGGACTACAGGAGGTGCTGCTGATTAAATTCTCCTTTTTGTTTAATGCGGAGAAGAGATATGAACTAGATTTTTCCACTTCTCAAGTGAGTGCCCTAACCGCCAGCCCACAGTTACTCTCACACTCCTGCTGGCTTAATGTTTATTTAATGCAGAGTGGACAGCTTCAACAAGAGAAGACGAGGGAGCCCCACATCAGGCTAGCCCACAGTCCAGTGGTTAGGGTACTCACCTGAGAAGTGGGGAAACCGTATTCAAAGCCCTTTTTCTCAGGCACAGGGTAGAATTGAACTATTGCCTCCCCCATCCTGTGTGAATTCCTGAACCAGTGGGCAAATGTTATGAGAGAAGCTGCCTCCCTCAGCTGTTGGTTGTGGCATTAGGCATGCTCTGAGAGCGTTTCCCTGAGAAGGCCACATAGGCAATTGTTCCATTTTCACCAGCCTCACCTGGTAATCATAGAGTGTGGCAGAACTTCAGATTCCATTATAAGAAGTTCACGATACACATCAAAAGCTCTTGGATATGCTGTAGCCCACAGAACCCAGTCACGTAGCTCTCCCAGTGAATGAGGACATTATAGAACCAATTCAAATGGCCTGGCATACACAAGCAATGAGTATCCCTGTCCCTAAAAGGGCTGCGAGCCATCACTTTGTGCCCGCAAAAGGCACACACTGCTCATTCACCCATCCTGCCCACAACTGGAAAGCTATAACAACAAAGAATTGAGTACTAGATATCATCCACTTTGGCTACACTATTGCGTTTCTTTCACCACCTCCTCTTCCCAATCCCTCTTCAGGGGCCACGCTCGTGAGGAGAGATCCCCTGACAGGAGATTGACTCTAGCCTCAAGTGAGGAGCTAAAGAGCAAGTGCCAGCTCAGCATCAAGGCAAAGGGGGAGGGGGGGAGAGGGGAGGAAAATGGAGGCCCATTGGAGACCTCCATCGGCTAGATATTTTTATTTTCAAATGAAAATTCCACATTGTTACATTGGCAGCAATAGTTCCTTTCTTGGAAGAAGACACAGGGTTCATAGCTCTTGACATGAAAGATCATAGAATCATAGACTATCAGAGTTGGAAGAGACCTCAGGAGGTCATCTAGTCCAACCCCCTGCTCAAAGCAGGACCAATCCCCAACTAAATCATCCTAGCCAGGGCTTTGTCATATGGACATTCACCTATCCCTCAGGTTTCTGGTAGTACAGGAACACTATCAGTTC